TGGTACATTCGTATATTCAGGACTCAGTACCTTCCTTGACTTGATTGCAGATAAGTAAACAGCTGCTGGTCAAGCTTCACTCCTCCAGCGGGTGGAACCAATACGCTATGGTAAGTATTTGTATCCAGACAATGGGTTGGGGATGGTAGCAATTTTTTCATGTATTCCATGCTGGGTTGTACTGCTTACCAATAGGCAACGATTTCCTGGTATCTGCTATTCACCTAGTGAGAGCTCAAACCTGCACTTGTCAGTTGTCTAGTAACCAGCTAGTGGCCATCCTCCTTAAGGGGGATAATAAGTAGGATCTCATGAAGGCTGAGATATCATAGTGAGCAGACAAATCACTGAGGCAAGGATTCCTTCCACTCAGCTCATGTTAACCCTGTAAGCCAAAACCCTAATGATTAAGGCAATCCTAATTTCCCTAATACTTTCCAGAATTAGGAAAACGGGGTGTGTTCCTCCAGGGAGAAAGTATGCATTCCATTCCAGATAAATGGTAAGTGTCCATGCAAGCCATTTTCTACCTTTAGTGTTGTGGCCTTTCTGCTACTACTATTAATCCTGCACTTTTGTACCTCTTTCTGAGTTACGCAGTTTTAATCATACCTCAGCATTGGCTCAAGAAGAGACCTATTGCTGAGCTTGCTATCTTCACTGTATGTTGAAGTGGACTACTCTTCCCTCACCAAAATACATATTTAAGAGCTGGTCAGGAAACATGCTGTGAATCATTGTATTCTACATTACAAATATGCAGTCCAAATCTACATTCATGTTCTTGCTATTACTTTGCAAGTTTGTATTCTCTGGGATGGGGTGGGGGGGTGGGGTGAGAGAGCTAATGTGTAGGTGGCATACATGAACCTCAGTCTTGTTTGGATACTCTTAAGCATGGCAATGGAATTCTGTATGCGTCAGACACCCAACTGACGAAAACAAAATGAGTTTGTCTTTGGGGCCAATTACACCTTCCCATCCAACAAAGGTTGAACCTAGCCAACTTAGCACAGACAGGGATTTGAACCAACAAGCTTGTGGTATGTAAGCTGTAGCTCTATCCACTGCATCAATGGAGCTGTCCCAAGAACCATAATATTAAAGACTCAATTGGATTACAAGGTAGTTTAAGAAATGACAGAAGGGCATCATTGGAATTGCTTTGACATTGGTTGTACACTTATCATTAAGTTTAAGAAGTTGAAATGCAAGAGTGTCTTGCATTTGGCACTCAGAATGTCTGTCATTCAGTGCTGCTGCAATGTCATTCAAGCACCACTATCACTATCTCAATTGAGATAGAATCATCATATATGGCTCAGTTTCATATTGGGCAGTGTCCCTTCTACAAAGTATAAAACTTGTATTCCTGCTTGTGGAGACCAGTAGCTTAGTGGTTAGAGCGCTCGCCTCGCAAATGAGAGGACTTCGGTTTGATTCCTGGGCAGGGCAAAACGTTGAGTAAGTTTCCTTACTCCACATGCCTCTGTTTACCTAGCAGTAAGAAGAAACCCAGTTATTTGTCAATTGGCGGATCGCTTTTCCCAGGATAATAATCTCTTGAAAAATAATAATAATTATAATAATAATTTGATCACTCAATGCACACTGCTGTGGGCAATTGGCTGCCACATTTCACCCACAAAATATACATTCAATTCACTTTACACTATATTCTGTGAAGTGCTTTGAGATGTCTTGAAAACATGATAAGGCACTATATCAAATGCAAGGATTATTATTATTGTTATAATTACTCTAATCCCTTCGGATCATAGTGAAAGAATTACTGGGAATAGTATTTCTCTCCACTGCAAATTGTATGGAATAGTTCATTCTACTGGGTTGTTCAGCAAACTCAATCTAGTAATCCAGCTCTATAATTTTCACCAACCACCTTGGCAGGGGCTGTTGAGAGTGTATTGAAGAGCAGTTAAGGATTCATAGTTTCTCTTTTACAGGCATCCAACAATATGTTAGAAAATTTTATGATGGGTAGCCTTACTACAGTGTACATGGTGCACGGTGATTCTCCAGCTTTACAAATTAGTCAGTGCTGCAAACTGGAATGATATTTCATTCATTATTGTATTTTGACCTGTCACTCCAATAAAAAGGTAATGGTAAAACAACTAATAGATTGCATTTATACGGTGTCTTCCACACCAAAATAAACATCTGGAAGCTCTTTGCAAGACATAAGATACTTATTTTATTGTAGCATTTGGTTGCTTAAAGCACCATAAGTGCTCAGAATACATTGCGAGTTACTAAAATGCCATTTTCTCCTTCACTGTGCTTATAAAAGTCTGAAATTTGACCATTTAAATGTGTGCAGGATATAAAAGAAAAACAACCACAGGCGAAATGGAAGGCTAGAGTGATTTAAGGTATAATTCTGAAGATTCTCTCTTAAATAGAATAAACTGTGTGACTTATCAATGAGGGTGACCTTCAAATCCATGCTTTTTGAACCTTATAAATGTATTGCTCAGTAATGTAATGGAGGCTTACTTGTTTTTAATGACAGATTGTGTGAGATGCCTGTGACTCCCGAGAGTAGCAAGGAAAAGGCATTTGAAAGGTGAGATTACAAATGGTCGCAGGTGCAAATGAACGATAGGTGGTTAATAAATAAAATAAAGAATGCTGTTTGTACATTCAACAATAACGAAACTGAAGGTGTGAAAGCTATTAGTGACGAAAGTGTTTCATGGTTACTGAAGTTGGCTGACATTGCTTCTTTTCCAACAAAGCACTCCTTTATTTTATTAATTTATGAGAATTTAAGCTTATTCCTGGCCCTTACTTAAAGGTTGGTGGGCAGTTATGAAAGCATATTCGACAAGTGGAATATTATGGTATTAGGGACATGCTCTCCATAAAGCTATAAATTGCCAAGTGCTGATAAAGGCTTCGATTATAGGAGGAAGCTCTAAGCAGTAAACATTTATGGATCCAACAGTTGTAGTCTAGCTGAAAGCGGAATTTTACAACGACGATCACTTTTAAAGTTAACTGAAACAACAGAGCTTACTCGCGGTTGGAGAGCTGTTTGTTTTGGAGAGAGGACAAAGAGGAAGAGACAGAGCAGAAGCAGATGGATGTCCTCGCACCTGTCAGCTTACCTGCCTTTCCACAGCTACAACCTGTTCAATCATAAACCAGACTTCCAGTGACTCTTACTCTCTGAAATGCAGCTGAAAGTTTTAATAAAGTTTTCCACCAGAGTGTGGGGGGGTGGGGGGGGGGGGGGGGGGGGGGGGTGGTGTTCCATGATTTCCAGATGATGCATCATCTTTGGAAGCCGGTGCCAAGGAAAGGTGGCTTATAAGGACATGTATAACCGGCGGGAGCTGCTGTGCAGAATGAGCCCCGCTTCACTGCGCGCTGAATCACATCTGCAGAGACCTGTTGGCCGCACTCCGCTGTTTACCCCCAGACGATCTCCAATAGCAAGTGACGGATTACAGTCCCCTCTAACTGATGACTGTGTCCCTGTCTCTCTGTCCAGTTGGCACGCAATATAATGGTGTCTCTGTTAACCACACGCATTCCCTTTTTTTCACGTTTTGAGTGCACTGAATGTGTGCGATTATGTCCAAGACAAGTCTGGTGCGAAATGAAGCCATTTCAATTCAGCAACGCGAGGATGTAAACGCGTTAGCACTTTGGACCTGATATATTCAAAGGGGACTTGTTAACACCGCTGCCCTCTCCAAGTCCCACACTTATTATTGTTTTGTTTTTTTAACCCAAAGACAGAAACTGTTAACCATTGCTAAAATGCATTTAAAAAGGATGCGATCTCAAAAAATTTGACTACTAAACAATTTGCTTGTTTTTTTTTTAAACGGTCTTCTGACCTCGCGGGGAAAAAAATATTAAGACGTTTGCCAGCGGCGCCATCAACGAACTTTTCTGCTGCTATTTTTAGTCTTTAGCAAGAGTTCTGTGGGTGCATATTAATAGTGCAAACCCTGCTCCACCGACTGTTTTCACTGACACTTTCTGTTGCAACTAACCGAAGGCAGCGTTGCACAAAAGGATCCGTTGTCAATCCACGTATCGGGAATCCAACTGTTCTCGTAGATGAATTTATTTAACAAATAACGCCCTTAACGACTCTGCAAAATAAATCACACAACCCTCCTTAAAATCTAGCAAAATATGTTGGATGCCAGGTTCCCGGCTGCTGCAAAAACATAGCGATCGACATCACAAGGCAGCGTTTAATCTCCCCAAGTCGCCGGTATCAGACCTGTATCAACCTATCTTGTGTAAACGGGGGGTTTACACATGAATAACATACCACATATGGTCAGTTGGTTTCTTCGCTTCTTAGATACCAAGCGATTTATTTGACTCATGGGCGCCAGAGCTCAATACAGTGAGATCTACAAGCTGTGAAGGAAATCCAGCATTACTCTTCGGCTTTGACACCCCAGCGAAGTTTCTTGTCTGTGATTTAAAAGTTTCACGTCCTCGGAAAGACAGACACACACACAGAGAGAGAGAGAGAGAGAGAGAGAGAGAGAGAGAGAGAGAGAGAGAGAGAGAGAGACTAATTGAAGTATCGATCAGACAAATATCAGCCAAACAACAAGCAACTTCTGTTCCCAACAGACAGTCCTGGCTCCCGTGGATCAACCGTTCAATCCAGTCAGCTAAGCTTTGAAAAAAAAGCTAAAAGCACCATCAAAGAGTAAAGTGTGTTTGCATTTATAGGCAATTTATTGCCAATGAACATATGCCTTGTATTTTGTCCAACGTCATACTCGAGAAGAGCAAACACAGCGTACGACCTGAGAGTGTGGAGGAGCTCGGCCACTTCCCAGGGTAGGCAAACGCACTTGGACAATATTAAGAGTAGATGTTTTTTTTCTCTCTCTCTCTCTCTCTGGGTATATAAAGCGCATCAGTCTTATCTCTCTGCACGCACTCCTGACTTTCCATTTGGAGATACTTCATTAAACCAACGACACCCAAGCTTTTAAAAGTGACTGCATCACTCAGCCCTCTGCAGCTTGCACCAGGTGAGTTCCCTTTTTGAGCCCTGTATTTGTATTTGCTGAGACTTGACTGCATTTGCTCGGACTCGCGGCGTTGGGCGAATTGGACGCGCTCTCTCCCTCTCTCTCTCTCTCTCTCGTTTATTCGCTTTTAATCGGTCAATATTCAGCTGACGGATGATCTTTGCAGAACGGCCAGTGGACGTGGCATGGGTTCAAAACGATATTATTATGCGGTCAAGAGCGTATTTGCTTACTCAATCGTGGACAGAGAGCCGACACGCGAGTGGATTTAATGTCAGTTTTGGGTAGAAGCAATCTTGCTGAAGGTGGTTTTGATTTGGTCTCTTTTTGGTGAGGTTAGAAGGAGAGTGGAAAGCACCGGGATTGTTTTTAAAGGCATTTTTCACACTCAAGCATTACCACAGCGCCCGCTATGACTGCTAACTTGCCGTTAACAGTCGTTTGGCAACCTGGCTAACCGAGTTTGCACACAGCGCTAGTTAAGGTTTTATCAGGTCCAGTAAAGGTTGAGCGATCGACCATGTCACACGATCACTCCGACGGAAACAACACCTTCGCGACACCAATCCATCCAGCAAAATCGGATTAACCCTTTCGGATTAAGATCGCATTCCCCATCCCCACCCCCTAAACCCCAACCACCCCACTATCTCTCCTACATCTCATAGGCTGCACCCGAAAAGCGGACTGTCGCGCTGCCTGGGGAAGAAACAAAGGAAAGATTGAGCAAGTCAACCCATGCCAGGCTTTAGATACAAAGCACATAAATAGTCTGTTCATTAGCTGCGTCTGAGAGGCAGTCGGGATTGCCAACATTAAGATGCAGTTTCGCTGTGAACTAAGGAGTGCGATATGATATGACTCTCCAGGCGTTTAGTAGAGAGAAAGGGATTGAGTGATATATCCAGCAAAGGTTTCTGTGTTCACATGGCGCAACAGTGTAGACCAAGAGTGCAAAATCCAACACTTATAGATTGTAATTTCGTTCTCCTTTTTTTTTTAGAGGGCTCAGGTGTTTTCTAATAATACATTTTAAATGATGCACAGTGCAGAAATACAGAATGGAACGAGGCCAATAAGAATCAAACATAGTCTGTATGAAATGGATTCACATTCACCAGTTGAACTTCCCGAGTAATTTGTAAGTGTGTTCTTTATATTGGTGGCGACATGCACTTGTTCACTCGCACTATTAAACCCGCAAATTTCATATTTTATGGAACACAGGACTCTTTGAGAGTGAACAATGATCTGCGGACGTGCACGACATAAAACAAACCAATACAGGAAGTCATGATCAGTTCCGTTACTAAACATTACTGTCTCCCTCTCTCCTTCAATGAAACCCTCTTTATTCACTATGATTCTAAATCGCTGATGTGACAGTTCTGGTTTATGTCAGCAGAGCTCGCCAGTGCATCAGAAGTGAGTACAATTCTTCGCTCGGTTGTTGGCGATGACTCTTGGTTTTCAAGGGCTGAAGTCTGCAGTTGATGACCACTACACGGATCAATAAATCCCTGGATATCTGCTTCCCACTATCTGTTTCATCCGGTTTTTAATAGCCATCCCAGATCAAGACTGGGTTCCAGTCAAACCTGCGTAAAGCCGTTCTTTAATAGGAATATGGGCTAAAATTTCAGAAGAAGTGGATTAAAAACCCTTTTTTTTTCTTTGTGGGGGGGAAATCTTGACACGTCCCCCCTCACGCCAACGAAATGTATGCCTTGCCCACGGATTCCCCTTATTTTACACAATCCATTGTACAATATTTCAGTACTGAAAACGCCGCACCTTTTCTGTTTTTTTGTTTCTGTCTCCGATTTTTACTTAGAAGAACAGATCGGCGTTTGCTTTTTATAGACTGAATCTATGTGAGTAGCGTCTTCTATAGTGCGTTTCCGCAGTTTTGAGAGCTTGGCACGTTTTACAGCCAAACCGCTGGCTGCTTTATCTTTCCCTATGTTAAACGATTTGGGGCTTATGAAAACAGACAGCAAATCGCCCCCACAAACTCTCTACAAGATATCAAAAAGGCATTAATTAAAGGTCGTCAAGCATGGATTTAATTTGTCCCTTTTTCTTTTTTGGTAGAAAGGATTGCAAATTAATCTTTTAAGGTAAAACGTTACTGCTTTGATAAAAAAAATCCAAAAATATGGCCTCTGGACACGAATCCTGATGTGACATATTTAATCATTAGAGAAAGTGAATGAATAAAGCCAAAGGCTTCTTGCCTCGGGGCAATGAGAGGTTTTATTTTCAAATGAAACATTAGCAAATGACACGCGCTAAAAGAAGGCCGGAGGCAATGCTTCAATCCGATTATAAAACTCTGGGCTGTGAGTGCTCTCGGTGATACTGAAATAGAGTTTCCCCTATATATATAAAAAAAACTCAGTTTCCAATCAGAGATTGCGACTCTCGGCTTCCGAATAACGACACAATTTGTTGTACCTTTTATTATTCATAGCCCTGTGTGAGTGTGTATGTGTGTGTGTTCCCCCCTTCTTCCGGGGGTTATCTTCAGGGCTGTTGAGGAGCATCGTGCAGGGCAAAAAGGAATCACATGCAAATCCCACCACCATCAACCAACCTCCCCCCCACACACCCACACACACACCCTCCCCTCCTCCGCACAAATGCCACCTTAGGAAATGTTTCCCCATCGGGCTAAAGAAAACGTATTTCATTTATTACATCGCAAACCCATTTGATAAGAGACTTCCAATCCCATTCTGCAGAACAAGCAATTAACTATTTTAGAGCCTGGAACAATCGCAGGCAAATACTGATTATCCTCCTTTAACATATTAGGGTGGATGGCTATTACCTCTATCATCACTGTTGTTTGGAACAGTCATTAAAATTGTTTACCTTTGTCCAAGTATGGATTGGCAGAGGGTGGAAAGTACGTATGCAGCTGATGTTTCAAATACATAGTTTTATTTCAATGAGACGAAACGGGCGTTAGGCGTCAGACCCGGAGATTTTTGATTAAAAAAAACATTTTTTAGAAGCAACGGATAATGATTATTTTTCCCTCTAGGAATTAAAATTAAGAACAAGTCAAATGCTATTAATTACGACTTTGGCTGCCTACAAACATAGCTGACTTGTTTAAACCCAGAATGAATACACCTCCAATCCAGATCTGCTAACGTTATAATTATGCCTTACTTGACGCAGATTTCCAATCCCCAAGCTTTTTTTAAATTAATAATTAAAATCCATTTGGGAATTGTTATCTGTACTGCGCTTTTTTATTTTAAAATATTTAAATTGTAGCCCTGAAATATTCCATTAATGACGACCGTATTTTTTTTAAAAAAAACTTTCTCCTATCGGTTCCACAAGAGAAGACAAAGAGAGGGTGACGGGATGATAGGCGGATTTTCATACATACAATTTAATTGTGCACCTAACCGCTTGATTCAGGTTTGTGTCGGGGCTTTACCTTTGAAATAATGCATCTAATTTTCCCGTCGCTCATGTCTTTATTTCACCCGTGCAAATTTAATTTCGTGTAATGTTATATCGATCTCAAACCATGTGTACATATTCCCACAGATTGTGTTTAAGATTGATAGATATACTTCAGAGTTTGTGATCAACCGATTAGAAGCCCACACACCTTTACAAGATATAACCTCAAACATCGTTCCATAAATTGCCATATGTATAACCCCGTGCAGCAATAGCCAACTGGTCTAAGAATCGATTATATTCGACCAATAGATCACACAGCGATCATTAAATGATCGTGCATGATCAGACATGCAATGCTGAACATCACCTCCAGTAAAGAGTTTGGGTTTGCAGGCGCATAAATCCGAGTGGAGCCAATCACTCCTAAAGTTTAGCGAATAAAATGTAAACACTTGCCACAATGTCCGCAACGACTCTGGAAGTCTGCGCTGTTAGGTTTATTTCTGTTGCTGCTTCACTAATCCTAACCAAACGTGTAAAGGTGCATTCCTTTGTTTGACTCTGGAAACAATTACTCGCTTCATCTTCCCACACATCAGCTCATCCCCGCGCCAAACACTCGTTTGGTGCTAACTGGCCGCGCACTCTTGGAGACTGCTGCAGAGCCCCGTTTGGCTCCAGTGAAAAGGCAAATGCTGAGTAGCATTTAAGCTACCTGTGAAAGTAAACAGGTAAACATTACTGGAGGGCACTTGAGCTGAAGTACAGCCACTTATCCTGTGCACATTTACCTCTCCTTTTCAGACTCTTGTTAGATTGTTCAAATAACCCCTCGATCCTATCAGTCTCTTCAACGGGGATTAAGATTTTGTGTAAAGGTCACTTATCTCGTTTTGTTTCAGAACTCGCCCTAGAAAGAAAGAGACTGTTCATGTCTAACACACAATGTGAAGATGCCCATTTCCCCCACTACTCTGTACAACATCTCTATAACGTTGTCTTGGTTTTACCTCACACCATCGTTTATTTCATTGATTCCTATCTGTGTCTTTCCCATGTCTTCCCAAACATCCAGGACTATTCATTGCCCCCTTATCTTTTCCATCCTTGTTTTCATCCTTGTTTCAGCCGCGTCACGTCACATCCATACAATATATTTGACCACCCATATTTTGGTATCAATAAGTGAAAATTTAAAACACATTCAACTAAACAGTCATTACCTTTATTTAGATTGAAGCAGTCACTGACAAGACTTTTTGGCTACATTTCCGAGGAAAAATCCCTGCACTAAAATTGCAATAATTCATTATGTTTTTGTGTTGTTTGTAAGTTGCCAATGTTAAATAGAACATGCACAAACCCCTGGAGTTTCGATGCTGCACTCGCATTTTCCAAACTTTAGCAATTCGCCTTGGTAGAGTTAGTAAAGTTGGATAGACCTGCTACTCTGTGAAAATGAGGTGTATTTACAGTAGTTAATAGGACAAGCCAAGTTGTTGTAACAAAGGAAGCAGAACCTGACTGTGATCTTTGCGAAAGAGTTAGAAGTTGCTGAATTATCGCTGTTCACACTGTAACAGAGCAAACATCACCAGAGGCCAAAATGGGGTTCAGTACGTGCGCTTTTGAATGGCCTTTTTGTCATCCGGCAATGCACTCAACCATGATGATTAATCATTCAGGAACTATTTTTTTCTCTTGGGGACACATTTACTTATCAGGTGGTCCGTGTTAGAGATGGAAACAGGTTGAAACACAGCGATGGTATGGGTATCTGTGAGTTCAACAGAGCAAAAAACAACCACACACACAATGTAACTCTGTTTGACTTTACGATTACAGAAAGTGCTGCAGGAGCTTTTGCTATAGGAAACACTAATAGTTTTCCAACATCGAGAGAGGAAGCATTCTTCTTCCATCTGTTTTCCCGTCAAAAAGCTTGTTGCAAATCAAGCTAAAGGGTGTATTTGCCTTTCCTCCGAGTCCGCGAAAATCTGGGGATTACGCAGCGAAATACTCACGTTTTAGTCCATTTACAATCCTTGAATGGAGTGTTACCACTTCAGGCGCACTGGTCTCAATACGGAAAAGAAATATTTACTAAATATTGGAGCAACCCTTTGCTTGGTTAATCGAATAACTTTAACGAACCAAGAAGAAGGGTATACATTTATGTCGCACGTTTTACTCGTGAGGTTTGACCAGTTTTATTCAGCGTCTTTGGGTGCTTTTTTTTATTACAAAAGAGCACCATCGCGGACGGGAATCTATTGACATTCCCTTCCCTCTGCGTTCACTATCAAGATCCATGGAGGACGGGGCTGGACCGGTTGGATTGAGAAGCAGACCGAGAAACGGGTTTGGATGTGGTTCCTTAGCTTTCCATTCGCAACCTTACAGCACAGAGACAGGATTACCTGACAGTTAACGTGACAGCTCGGTGGCATTTTGTCAGGAGGGAGATTTCATATTGAAAGTTCACAATGCACGATAGATACACACATGTGTACACGATTTCAATAGAAATCTTCCGAACTCGTTGATTTTGTTGGTTGCGAGCAATATCTTATTTATATACAGGTATGATGCACCCACTGCCATCCATAATCCCGAGCTGTAACTTTTTTTCTAAATACTTAGGGTCGTCATCAATGTTCACATTTTTGGAAGGGGGCGGTGTGTTAAAATGCCTTTATTGCCCCAGACAAAGGGTAATGTTGAAAAGAAATCTCCACGTTTATAAAAAAAAAGGTAACTTCTCACTGTAACCAGTTACAAAACTTTCCACGCTGTGTCTCATGCTTGAAGCTGAATGCCGGGGTTTCTGAACGAAGATGTGTTGATCGATTCCGCAGAGGGAGGGAGAGAGAGAGAGAGAGAGGGAGGGAGGGGGGCAAAGAGAGAGAGGGACAGAGAGAGAGAGAGAGCGTTAACATGAAGGAGTTGCCTTAATATTGTGGACGGATTCAGAAATGAATGAAGAGATAGTCCATTGAAAGCAGTTGAATGCCATGACAACTAGGAACAACCTCAGATTTATTCCAAACAGTTAGAACACATTGTACCAGGGCGTCAATCATCTATTATTTCGCGACTGAAATAAATGCAAAAACTGGGCTCGGACAAAGGCTTCCAACAGGAGCCGGACATTTGTCTACATTTCCCCCATTGTTGGCAGCTTAGCAATCGGTTTGTATTTGTGTTTGCCCGGGTCCGACCACCCAGGTTGCGCTGAGGAGTTCGTAAAACCTGCAGTATTGTCACCCAAATCACATACTAGATGAGCGACAAAGAGAAATAAACTGATCAACAATAATAAATTGCTCCGCTGTATCACCACAGCTCAGGGGCAGTCAGTAAATCGGATTTCAGAGAGAGCGAGAGAGAGTGAGAGAGAGAGAGAGAGCTATCATCCTTTTTTTTAAAAAAAAGGATCAAGCCGCCTTGGCTCTTTTGCATCGCTTTTGCGGTTTAATAAACAATGAGCTGGGAAAGTTGTGAGAAATCGTAAATGTTCAAACAGACTCTCCGCGGGATATATGCTTCTTAAATCAAATAGATTTCACATGGTGGGGGGGGGGAGAGAGCACCTCCGCCAGGCGAGCATCTTGTGTCTGTCCTGATATCCATCATGTGATATTAAACAACTGACCATTAGCTTAATCGATGATTTGCGTTTGGAAATTGTCCACTCGCAGTGTGAAAATGTATTTGCGGACATCATGTATATTATAGCAGTAACAAATGATTGATTGGTTGCATGAGTAAGATCCTCCTGCCTTTAAGGATCTTTCAACACATTTTGACCCCGTCCCTATTTCTCCAATTCGCTCCATTATCCAGGTGATAGTGCTGCGCACTTTTCGAATATACCTACAATTTAAACCAAATGGGTGTTGATTGCTGCAACTGGAGCCATAGCTGGAGTCCCTGGCGCAAAGAGCTATTTTCCGGCTTACTGCGCGCATTTTGCTTGCTGGAAAACGAGAATAAATGCAAACGCTTTCCAGAGCAATTTGTTAAATCGCATTTTCAAGTGCGCGGAATATCAGGCTACTTGGAGATCCTTTGTATGTAAATCTAGTCTAAAAAAGGCCCTCCCCATCTTTGTAATTAATTGACACGTTACACCACTCATCATGTGCTGAAGCGCCAATGGTGGATCCTCACAACCACCACCCCCCCAACCCCCCCCCCAAAAAAAAGAACCCACAATTTCACATCGGCAAACACAGTCTTCATCCACTTGACTCCCAGGACCCGCCCACACGTGTCCAAAACCTTTGGCATTTTTTTTAATGCTTTTCTCTGCAGGTTCATGTGTTGTGACCAACTTTATAGGACTGATCACTACAGCAATGGCTCATTCGTTCAACATCACAGTGTGCATGAGCAAGATTTGAACTAAGCAAGCTGGCAATTTTGCTGGACTTACAGAATTTATTAGACGTGGCAGATTGATCAATGCTAGGTATTTACACTGATGGTGAGCTGCTAGACTCACCATCGTTTAACTGATCCGCCTTCCCTACGTTTTTTTTTGTGTGTGTCTTTTTCTCAACAGCGGATTGCAATACTGGTGCTGAAACTTTCCTGCATAAATTTGGCCAGAATATGTCGTTGACCAACACAAAGACGGGCTTTTCAGTAAAAGACATCTTGGACCTCCCCGACACCAATGATGAGGAAAGCTTGTTAGCAGACGCAACGGAGGAAGATGTGGAACCTGCAGAAACAGCCAAAACTTCGGGGATTGTGGAGCAAAGTGCCCTGCCTCTGAAGAACCCCTTTTACGACAACAGTGATAATCCATACACGCGATGGCTAGCGACCACAGAGAGCATCCAGTATTCATGTAAGTACTCCTAAAAACACACAAGATATCCTTGTGACCGGCCTCGTCACCACGAATTCTGCACACTCCGGCTCTGGTACTTCTAGTGTAATTTTAGCTGCTTATTTGGGTGACAACAGAAGGGTGGTGCAGCATAATGGCAGTTCGGGAAATAATAAAAATGCTTCCTATTGTTCAATAATTGTGCGTTTGTGAGTGTGTGTGTGAGAGAGAGAGACAGAGACAGAGAGAGAGGGGGAGGGAGGGGGAGAGAGAAAGTGTGGGGTGGGGGGATATTTTATGTGGATACAAGTGACAATCGACGGTTACCGAAGGAAATGCGGCTTTTAGTCAATCTCGAAGTTAAAATATCGAAAAGAACCAATCTTAAGTGAGGCGGTGGGAAAATTGGAAATCGCCCTTCCGACCGACGTGTCTGTGCCAATCACAAACGTTCAAGTTCGACGAAATGCGATCGAAATTGACGGGAGAGCTATTGCAAACCAAAGTAGAAGTGTGCGGTCTATTATTTTTTTTCTCTCTGAATTATTTTCTCTCTCTCTCTCTCTCTCTCTCTCTCCCGACAGTGCATGGACTATCAGCCAGCGCCACCCAACAGCAGAACTCCAGCAAATCCTCGGAGCCTTCGGCGGACGAATCGCAGGATAATGGCACGGAAACTTCCAGCAACGGTAGCGAATCCGGTAAAAAGAGAAAGAGGAGGGTGCTTTTCTCCAAGGCTCAGACTTACGAACTGGAGAGGCGTTTCAGACAACAGAGGTACCTGTCAGCGCCCGAGAGAGAGCATCTGGCCAGCCTCATCAGACTGACTCCCACCCAGGTAAAAATCTGGTTCCAAAACCATAGGTACAAGATGAAGAGGGCCAGAGCCGAGAAAGGTATGGATGTGAACCCACTCCCCTCTCCGAGGAGGGTTGCTGTGCCAGTGTTAGTAAGGGACGGAAAACCCTGCCATGCCAGCATGGTGACGAACACTCTCAAACCTCAGGACTTGGCTGCGGCCGCCTTCCAGACTGGTATCGCCTTCCCCGCCTACACCGCACAGTCCCTACAGCACATGCAGTACAACTCTCAATTTAGTTCTCTAAGTCCCCAGTACCACACACACCCGCTGGTGCAATCGCAGCAATGGACTTGGTAAATCCTCGTCAAAGGAATGTTTTGAGGAAGGGTAGTGGGGAATTATAAATATAAATATATATATATATATATGTGTATGTATGTGTATTTATACACGTCCATACATTTGGAGCTGTGTTTCAGCTGAGCTTTTATTTTGATGGTGTCTGTTTACAAAAAGATGTTGACTTATGAAAACCGGTCCTGCCGTATCTGGAACCCGCAATTTCAGTGCTCTGTGATGTGTAAAGTATTTCGGCGTGTTGTAGAAATGTTTTTTTCTTTGTCACTTATATCCGTGTATAAAGCAAGTGGGTACGAAAAAAAAAAGTACGCTTTTTAAAATTGTGGATAACATTTATTTCATTCCTTCCCGTTTTATATGAGACTTTAAAATATTTATGGGCCATGTATTAATACTTGCACCCTTTAGGTGGGTTTCTTCTGGGATGGGGGTGGGGGTGGGGGGGGGTGGGGGTACTTTGTCGATTATTGTTGCCATAAATAACCTCAAGGGCGTTTATTCGATGCAAATATTTCCTGATGTAATGTAGACAATGTCAAGGCTAGAGACATAAGCGGAAGGAAATAATCATGTGAATAGAGGCGGCCTGCTAGGAGATTTTCCGATTTTTATATGAATTTTAATAAAATGTTGTGTTTCAAAAAAAATGGCACGTTTCCCCTTGATCCTGTTAACTAACTGACGTTTTCGGTGGGAATGTTTATATTTTTCCACTGATTGTGTTAAAACGGTGGTGCTGTGGGAGTGAGATACTGACACATTTTATGATTTGGGGTTTCATGACATTAAATCTGACCCTATTTTACTGCCTTGTTGCGCAATCAAACACTCCTCAATAACCTTAAGGTTAAATCCGGACAAAAAAAAAAATTTTTTGCTGGAACCGGTATAACAAAGTGCGAGAGGCGTTCATTCACTCGATCGTAAACTGAAAATTGCGAAATTGGTCAATTATTTAGAAAGCGGATTTTTTTTTATATACCCGTCTGGGTGGAAATCGTGCCTGGATCCCACAATTCGACGGCTTTCTGCTTTTCAAGGGCCGAGTTGAAATAAAATAAACGCAATCACTTAAAGTTAGAGTGCTTCTTCAGTTGAGGGGCTTTTGATGCCAATACAATCTCAATGGGCGACTTTGATGTTGACGATTTGCATCGTCAATGCAAGACGTTTCAGTGCTGCTTCTTAAATATGGTTATAGTGGCAGGTAAATAGACAACTGACGTTCAAAGCCACTCATCTGTGGGGTTTTTTAACGAGAAAGATCAAGCACACGCGCTCTGTTATAAGAAATCCTGAACGAAAGAGGATTTCCTAACCATAACATTGGCCTTGGTAATTTTCTTTTTTTTTTGGAGGGGGGGTTTGGGGGGTGTGGGGGTGTGGGGGGGGGGGGGGGCGTATCCTGAGCGTTAACATAGCGTTAACTTTAAATCGTTTAAGAACAGAGCCTGTGGTTGTTTGCAAATCTACACAGTAGACACGCAACGAGGCAACGGTGTGGATTTTTTTTAAATCATCATTCTGCGTTATTTCTGACGTTGCAGGTGATAATTTTTTTCCCCGTATTAAACACGAGTGCAATCTTACTCTCTGCAAACGAATTTCACAGCATCGCAGTTGCGTAGATATCACGAACCCGCTCTGTTTAAGTCGCGACGCTCCTCAGATGAATTCGAAAGAAGAGGCAGAATTCACAGAGCGTAAACCTTAGGTCAATAAGGAAGACGAGGAACCTGCAACAACCTAATGCAAGTTTGCAAAGGGCTTTTGGGGAATCCTTGGGGGATGCAGTGGATCAAAGCACGTAAAGCAAACTTGAAAGTCCCAACTGAATTTCTAGCAAACCTATTGGCGATTATCAGATTTAATTCAATATCTACAGCAAACACGATTATCTGGAACAAAATCTCCATTGCATTGTATTCACCGGAGCCAATAAATCCCGTTAAATCAGTTGGGTATCCGATGCACGGCAAACTCTATTTCGTAATTGTTAAGTATTGGAAGAGGGAGAGAATTAGTACCTCACCAGAGTTACAAGTAATTTCATGAACCTATTATATCCACTGCTTTCATGTAAACTCACCATTAACTTCCCAATGCATTTTGCATCAGTGCAGGGCGAGTGTGATTTGCCTGTTTCTAAAAAATAAAACAAATGTTGGCTAATTTCAACTTTCCTTCCTATGACTTAGCCGAAAAATGTTCCCTCAAATCGGTGTAATCGCTATTTGTGAACTGAACACAACGACCAGCTTCACTTTGCAATTTATTGTTTTTAAATGCTCACATTGTTTGCTGTGGAATGGACAGAAAGCAGCCTGTTTCCCCAGGATTTGTGGTGGTATTGAACCCCCTCCTCCCGCCCCCGCCCGAGAAACACGTTTATTATTAAAGAATTAACCCTTTTAAAGAAAGGGAGTTTTAATTAAAAGGGATTCATACAAGGAAATGTTAAGTGCATTTAGTATGACAAGTAATCGTAATAGTAAGTAATGTAATTACATGCACTTTTGTAACCTAAAGCGGGATAGGGAGCCCTGGGATCATTTCGATTCTCTTTTGGGAACCTATCAAGTCAATAAAATGCATTGGATCCTGTGTGGCCCTAAGCCCCGAGGCCCTATATTTCACACATTGACATGGCAGGTTTGTGCAGTCTATCTTTGCACAATATACAGTAGGAAGACAAAACAGCACAAAGGATGCGAGCTGGTAGTTAAGGATGTTAGAGGCGTGCATATCAATGAGGCAGAAAATTCAGTTTTGGTGCTATTCAGCTACTATCACAAACCAGTGCATCCCGAGAGTCCGGGAGAAGTATGGAGGCGTTTTGTTGTGGCTGTCAGTCGGTCCCATTGTGATCCTTGTTGTACATGCTGTATTCCATATGGGCAGCTGGGCCCAGGGAGGGGAGAAAGGGACCTCACAAAACCCAATTTGTGTCGAGCTTTCAAAACCAGCATTGTTGTCTTTGAAAGGAAAGACGAATTAAAAATTCGTGCTATATCTATTCTGGAACTCCTCTTTCACAGATAACAGCGTTTCTTTTTCTACCCCCCTCTCTCTCTCTCTCTCTCTCTCTCTCGCTATACGTATATATATATATATATGTATATATCGACCGGAGTGTGTCGCATTAATTCAAGAGCTGTCTAAACATTTTAACCGTTTCTATCTCTAAGTAATTCTCGAATGACAGTTTATTCTTTGAAAATATTTTTAACTCAATCATTTCCCTATCTAACCGCGAACTTTATTTAATCGAGTATGCTGGGTGGCATTGTGTGTACCTGTTAAACCAATTGGAAGAAAAAACAACTGATGGACCCAGTGTTTTTGCTCTGTTGGAACCTGACAAATTCCGCGAGCTTTTCATTGATAACTACACATTGATAACTTCCTGGTAGCAATGTTGTACTTGCATTTATACTGTTGCTGCATATAAAAAAAAGTCAAACGCACACACACACACACACACACACACACGTAAACGCCAGGGCATGAACATAATAACTTCTGATCTTCAGGTGGAAGTATTCTGGAATTTGTTTTAAAGACACCTGGAATGTGTGAAGTTAGAAAGAATGCTGCAAATAACAGGGAACACGGATTGTTATTTCATTGAATGGAGGGAATATAGTATGTTTATGTGGCATTCAGTATATTGGTAAGAGAGGTACCGATTTAGAATTATATTATGTGTAATGCAGGTATTGTAATGTTTTGTATTTTTTTAAAAATTACAGATAAAATGTTGATAACTTCTAAATATGTTATTCATTCGCCACAACTTCGATAAGCCTGAAGGTGAACGGTGACCGGTATAAACAGTATTTACAATATTTGTTATTTAAAACGACTTCAAGATATAGATGGTTAAAGTATAGGTTTGCTTCATTTATATCAGTGCAGACATATGCTATCTGGATGACCTGACTGAAGGCAAGTCATACTTTTCGAGAATAATTAAATGTGGAACATAATTTTAGCAAACGTGTTCTTAATGTTTTATTTCTTCGAAACCAATTACACCTGAATGTGTTCACTATCGACAATCCAGCCCTCAAAATTGCTAGAATGTATTTTCTGTACTTTTTGCTTTTGCTCTCTATCTTATTATTCCCGTTGGACATCCCACCTTGGAAAACAGGAACGTAGGAATGTACATTATCATTGCAGTCCCTCTTCGACACAGAACCCTTTTGTTTGAACACATTCGCCTGTTTAGGCAACAGAAATAATTTTGATAATATTGTTTTAATCCTGTGTGAAAGAAAACCGAGTTTATACAATAAAATAGGTAAAATAGTTTTGTTCTTTAAATTTTTTTTAACGTGTGTATATGATGAAGATAATTCAGAGTAGGAATCTCATTTGTAACATATAGGTAGAGATACGCATGTATAAACACACATTGCAGCCTCTCTAAAAAAAAAGTACACATTGTCGAATTGTCAAGTTTAAGGTATTTAAGGGAGCGGTATAGAATATTATACAAAATTCAATGAAAGTGTTCACACGATTATACTGAACAATGGCACGGGAAGATATTTATTATTACTTGTACGAGACACTAAAAGCAAAAGCAAACAGTGTGTAGTATCTCGCTTTGTGTGACAGGGTTTTCCGGGGGCAGTTCTATGTTTAACACCTTCCTCCCCACCCCCCCCCCCCCTCCCCCACCCGACCCCTCCCAGATAAATAGGCTTATCTATAGCCACTCGGAATTAGTCACTTTAAACCCTTGCGTTTAGAGATTAAAGATACCTTTGTTTGCATTCTGAGAACAAAATAAACTGATTAAAAGGTTATGACAAGAAAATAAAAAAAGAGGTGCGCCTCTGTATTTGATAATCAGGCGTGGTTCAAGACGCCAGATTTACTTCACTTTCAAGAGCCTGGTTATTGAAAAGCAAATACAATATTTGCAGAGCGTAATAGCTGAAGCATGCAGTTTATTTTGGGTTATATTTATTAAGGCAAATTATCGAATAATTACCTAAGTGCCGGAGACAAACAAAA